ACACCTCTTGACAGATGCGTGATAAAGGCGTTGACCTTCAGTGAAGCTCCTGCTCTATTCATTATTCGCCGATTGATACCTTAGAATGTTCAAGTTGCTGGCTTTAAAGAGTGTTAATCAAAGGTTTGAATGGTAAGCTGTGCTTTGCAATTATGCAGAAATAAATCTCGATGTAGTGTGTTTCCCAATTTGGTTTTATGGGGAGATCTATGAGCGTTTGCCAGAATTCTGTCAGAATTCTGCCATCATATATCTTCATGGTCACCATGACTGTGGTGCCATTGTGCTCAAACTGCCCAACATGTGAAAAGCAGGCTCTGTCTTGGCAGCATTGAGGCTTTCAGAGTGTCTTTTCTTCTCCTCTTGTAGGGATGGGTTGTTGTCAACAAAGCTAAGTCTGTTCTGAAGGAGCAGCCACTTTATCAAGCTACTTCACAAAACAGGCTTTGTGCACCGAATGCTCTTGGGTGTTTAAAAGGACCGCCAGTGTTTCCATTCCAGGCTAAGCATTAATGGTGTATGTCAGCTTGGAAGAGGATGAGACTGAATCAGTGAGAGGTTTTACAAAAGAATGTGGAAGTGAACAGCTGACTTTTCGAAGGCAGTTTGAGTCTATTCAAGGAGGAGACCGTTTTTGCTGTGGTTTGGGTTGTGGGTATCGCCTTACCTCGTGCTTCTCTTGGCATAACGTTTCCCACCTTCAGTCTTAATTCACTGATGCAACAAGACCACAAAATAATGGATTCAATTAAAAAAGTTTAGATTGTTTTTCATGATAAAAATGTTTTGACTTGCGGATTTTGTACTGTTTCACGGTCTACGATCATGTCTGTACAGCACTTTAACTGAATGCATGCAGGCTGAATGTGAAAATGGTCTACCTGTTTCCTAGCCTAGTGAACTAGACCAAATTCTTGCTTCCTGCATTCACCACTGAAAGAACATAGACGGGTAAATGCTAGGGTCAGAAAAACAACTCAAATCTATGTCTGACTGTAAATTCCCATTCATGGACTCTCCCATCTTGGTTCCTGATGGAGAAGGCTGTTTACTTGAGCCTAGTTTATATTTCTCCATCTGCTGAGGTGCAAGGGCTCTCCAATAGGCATGCAAGAACAGATGGAGTAGAGCCCAATTTTTCTGACTATCCTGCAAAAGCAACAGACTGCGAGCTTGTGATTGTTCAAGACGTTGCTTCCTTTAACTTTGTGAGCTGCACCACTTTGCCCTCTTAAAGAAAATAAAGTGAGTGAGCGAGTGTTGAAGATATCTCGTGGCAGACATAGAGCAAACTGAAGAATGTCTTGCAGGAAAAAGTCAGACGATATAAAAGTCAGTACATCAGTGACTGAAGGAAAGATGCACAGCTGACTTTTTATTCATGGATGGAAATTATGGGAAACATGGGTTTGAAGGTGACTACATTAAAAGGTGGAGAATGAGGGGAAAAATTGGTCTGTGTTAAGTCTCTGAAATAAACCCACACAATGTAAACACACAATAGTAAATACACTGGAGACGTGATGGCAGGATCCTCCAGAAAGTGTCCTGGTGGAGAATTGTTTCACAGACACACCAATGGAGAAGTATAAAGGAATAGTCTCTTTCAGTACGCGTGCATGTGATTGGAAAATCTAACCGTTAGTGTTAGCAACTTCACAACATGGCAGAACTTCTTCAGGTTTGTGTTATTTGTGGAGCTAAAACAACATTGCAGAGCGAACAGAGGCAGTGGTAGTCACGTTGCTGTTAGCCAATCAGAGCAAAGATGTTCCCGTATTATGAATAATAATGTGTGAGATTATAATTCCTGCCTTTTCTGACCCACACTCCTGCAGCTAACTTCTACTTCTGAAATGGGAGTAACCAAGCTTTTTTCCACAAAGAATGACTCACAAGGCATTCATTTATAATAGAGACTTCAAATTAATTGAAATAAGTTAATGAGGGCTTTAAAAGTAAAAGGATGGTGTTTTTAATTCAGTTACAGTTTAACCGTCCCACTGTCCTAATGGGTGTGACCCCGCAAGGAAAGTTGACCATTGAGCAGTGTTGATGGTTTATCTCTTGAGGTCCATGTGGCAGGGGTGAGGAGTGAGCACCACCTCACCCCTGCCACGTGGACCTCAGGGGATAAACCATCAATCCTACTCAATGGTCAACTTTCCTTGCGGCGCCACCCATAAAGACAGTGGGAGGGTTAAACATGTCATCCTGGGATGTAAGAGGATAATTATAAACTTAGTGGCAGAATGACTAAGCTGGCTGATATTCGCATTAAAAGAATGTGGAATGAATTTGTGATGGAGGCTTAAAATGGTAAAATAAAGGCCAAGCATCACACACTGCTGAACAATAACAGCTATAAACCAGGCTCTGAGTGTGAGCTCGAAACTGTTTCTGAACTTCAGACAACAGGAAGAGGCTAAGGAAGGAAAGAGGAAAAGGAAGACAGCGATAACCTGTTGAATGCACTTTGAGCTTCAAATCTGCACGCTTTCAGATTCCTGCATGATGCTTTGCTGATATGAGTCAATGTTCATTAAAGCAGCTAGTGTTTGTCAGGCCTCCGCACAGTTCTGTCTTTTAGTTTGGTTTAGGTCATGTCTAAACTTGACTTGCTCTGAAAATTTTAGTGTTTTCTCAACAATTCAGAGATGAAGCAAGAAAGTGCTGCAAGCTTTTCAAACAGAGCGGTAGTTTTCTCGTGTGTCATCACATGAAGCTGTTCCAGGAACTTGTAGTTAACATGGTTAGTGTCGATTTAACTGAAGAATTTGTTGAATAATAATTATTTTCAAGAAACAAATCAAACTACATTTAAACTCAACACATTAGTATCCTGATGATGATGATGATGATGATGATAATAATAATATTCTCCAGAAACTACTTCTTCCTAATGTTTTTTTGAGGAGTTTTCTAAAGACTGTGTTTTTGCACTTTCAGGCAATGCATGATTGTCATTTGACTTAAAATTATATTTTTTATTCCTAGCTGGTCTCTTTGGCAAGACAGCTTAATTTGTATAGCACATTTTATACACTGATGTAATTCACTGCACTACAAATGTATTGAAACTATTCCACTATTCCCCTGAAGCCAAGTTGAGCAACAACCTCCAACCTATCCTTATTTCCAAAGACAATAACTTCAGTTTTGTCTTTGTTTACCTGGAGGAAGTTGGACGGCATCCAGTAATTAACTTGCTCCAAACACTGGCAAATTGAGTCTAGATGACCACAGTCACTAGGTGATAAAGCTAGGTTGTGTATGACCTGGCCGGCTGGCCCAGGGGGAGATGTAGAGATTGAAGAGAATTGGTCCAAGAATGAAGCCTTGGGGGACCCCACATGCCATGGCAATCTTTTATTTGTGATCGCCAGTAAAAATATTATAACCCCTGTCTTTGAGATATGATTGGCCATGGCTGTCCAAATTCAAACAAGACAATTTAAATTGTTATTTAGAGAATCTTATTTTTCCAAACGCTGTGCTGTGACATGCACACTGCCACTCCTTTTAGCTGAATGGCTTCCTTTGCTTCTCTTTTAGTTTTATTTCAGAACAACCTTTGAACCTAATTTACAACCGTATCGTTACTCCCAAGTCCCTCAGGCCTATTCAAAGTGAGAAGTGCACATTTGCTCTTCTCCATTACTGCCTCCATGTTAACCAGCTGGATTGACTTAGCTACTGCTTGTAGTCTGACATGTTAACAATTTTTCTGTGAGTTCTCATTAGAACCAAAACAAAAGAGATTCTGTTGTGTGTTCCAATAGGTCTGCTTGTTTATTATTATATGAATAATGAATTACAACTTGGTGTAAATGGTAAAATTGACAATATTTGAAAGCCCAGAGTGAGGAATGCGCTTTGTGAATGTGTGGCTTCATTATTTTTCCTTTGTCATATATGGTCTGATGCATGTAGGTATTGTGGGTCAAGTTCAACAAGTAGAAACACGTTAAAAAAAGAGGCCTTTTTTATGGTGGCCTATTTTTTTTCCCCCTAGGAAATGTAACAGAACATGTCATCATTTTCCCTGTTTGGGGTTGGAAGCATTCCAGTTTATTTGACTTTATTAGTTGTGATTAATGCTGCACTGTGGACATGTGGCTTCATCCATGGTGTGTCTGTAAGTGGGTGAGTTGAGACACCATGATCTCTCCTCTGGGGCAGTTCATCTGCTTTTAACAGTCTAAATGTACAATACCAACCCCAACAGCTGCTGTAGAAGAAACAGAGGTTTGAACGTCAAGTTTTAACACAACATTCTGTCAAACTGCATGATTGGAAAGGTGGAGCCAAAATCAGCGTGAACTATTTATATAAAGTTCATTTTGAATGTTTCAACATGAATCACCTTACTTCCTTTTATGAATAAAAACTATGAAACCTACTTTGGTTTGTTGATGGGGGTGCAACCTACATAAATGAAGAATTTCATATTCCATGCTATCGTTCTTTTTTAAAACACAGAAACGGTTTCGTTACCCGTTTTTTCGCCACGTTTCGCTTGTGGCTGCAGACTTCCTCAGGCTGACGCTGATGGTGGTGCGTCACTTCTTTCTCCGTTTATCTGCGGGCAGCAGAGGACGTTGTCGCCCTCTGCTGCCCGCTCTCCCCTCTCCGACGATGCAGTCCCATGCGCGGTCCAACGTGTAAACTCCATCGTCCCTGTTCATGGTCCCACATCCACGTCTCCTAAGAATTTCATATTGTTTATAAAATTCAAGAGTTGTTTTCTTTCTACACTTGCAGTAAACTACAATAACTCGTAAAAAGGGAAAACATAGAAATGTTTAAATTTAAGACAAAAAATGTTAAACATATGTGAAGAATTCCAGTTTGTGTTATATGATGTCACCTGAAGACATGAACACGGTTTGGAAGCTTGAGTCCATTCTGCTGCACACAGCTTTAGTTTCCTGCTGTGTTCATGTTCATATTTGCAGTAACTGATTTGAGTTTACTAAAAGATTTTCTGTATGTTCCAGGTTGGAAAGGAGACGGTACAAACCACAGAGGACCAGATCATGAAAAGGGACATGCCACCAGCTTTCATCAAGTAAGCTGTGAACACATCCAACCTGAACGCTGACAACCTTCTCGGATGTTTTAAGAATAGCTCTCTCCCTGCAGCGTGGAACCTACTAGTCTGTCTCTTTCTGTTTTTATCTGTTGCAGCAGGAATGGCTGGTTGTGTCCAGGCAAAGGTTAGACATGGCATGTTAAGTGTCTGAGTCTTGCTCTGGTGTTACTGAAATACTTTGTCAGGGAGGAGTTGTTTGGTTTTCAGAAGCAGGGTCACGTGAGTTGCTAGACTCTTAGTGCTGCTTTGTGTTCTGATTGGCATAAAAGAACAAAACATTAGTGTAATAGCTTGTCTGTGTTCTTTAACCAGATTTTAAATGAAAATACATTCATGTGGGGGGTGGAGGGGACTCTGGGAGCCCCCACCAAGGTCAGGGCTGAAACACGTTGGCAGGCACAGGTCGTCAGGGCTCAACACATTTGGCGCCTCAAAGTCACATCGTCACCCTGTCGTCATCCATCAGCACATGCACTGGAATGCAACCCCCCCTAACTAAATATAGTGTCTGCCAGCCAGGGTCCTGTTTGTGTGTGATGCTGTCTTCCTCTGCAGAAGCACATTAACCCTGATCATTCCTGTTATAGTGGATAAAAACTTCTGTTAACAAATGTGTAATAAGCTCCTTCAGTTTGGTACTTTTGTAACTAAATTGTTACAAAGGTAAGTAAAATTCTGACTGCAACAGTTATCCTTCAGGGCTAAAGTAGGAAGTCTACATTCTGTGGGAACTGGAACACATGTTGGTCCTTGGCTTGTTGCCTGTTTCCATGTGCAGACTTGCTGTTGGTCTGATGCAGGTGGCACACATGACAGTGACTTGTTGCTGAGCTTGCAGAATTTTCAGAGATCCCAGAGGACATCACGCCCAGGAGGAAACTATTTGAAACTTTTACATTTCTATGCAAGCTGATGTTAGAATGAGGTCAGCGCTGGTTAAGTTAGGCTCGCAAATCCTGTTCAAGCAAGTTTACTGTTATTTTATGAGATAAATTATGGTTTTGTGGCTTATTACATATTTGCATCACTGCTCTTCAATGCATCACACATCACGACTGTTGTGTCTCAGTTTTTGCCTGCACTTAGAGTGTTAAATGTTCTACTTTTGCTTTGCTGTTTTACAGTTTAGGGTAGGGATGCACCGATCAGGTTTTTTGCTGCCGATCACCGATACCGATATCAAAGAATGCTGATCGCCGATACGATCACTAGGGCTGCAACAACGAATCGATAAATTCGATGAAAATCGATTACTAAAAGCGCTGGCACCGAATTGCGTCATCGATTCGTTGTGTTGCGCAACTCTTCCAAAAGCCCCCCCCCCCGGCCGCCGTTGCGCACAGACCGGAAGCAAGTCAGATCAGCGCGAGGGGGAGCCGGCGGGTGTTCGGAAGAGGAACATGGCAGAAGCAGCGAGACCCAAAAAAGTAAAAACTTTTAAAGTTTGGGAGCATTTTCAGTTAAATCATGCGAAGACATTCGTTACCTGCAACGTTTGTAGGTCAGACTTAGCATGGTACTACGGTGATGATGCAGCATCTTAAACGCAAGCATGTCAGAATCTTCAGCGAGGAAGGAGAGAGCTCTGTGTCCGGGTAAGTTAAAAACTTTTCAAAAGTGATTCACCCAAGCCCCGGATTATTACACAGGCTAGACATGCCCTAAGCTCGTAAAAAAAAGTCTATAAAATCGTGAGCGCGACGCTATTAGATAAACGGGGGGGGGGGGGGGGGGGACTCGCGCTGCTGCGAACCGGCTCCGCCGTCACATTCCTGCAGAAACTGGTTGATTACACCGGGGCCAGACTACTAGCACCACAATGTCCTCAGAAGCGAAAACGCTTTTAAAAGGGAGGGAGAAGTACTAACTCTCACTGCAGGCGTGTTGTGTGAGAGTGCAGTTATTTACTGGTTAATATATTTTTGGGTTCAGTTGCTTTCATGTGGCCTAATGTGAGTCTATTTGGGATCATTGGAATGATCAGCAGCATTTCTTGATGTGACTTTATGGCAGTTGCCCAGGGCATCATCACAAGGAGGATGGCATTCATTTACTTTTGTTTTATTTGGTATTTTTTCAGTCATTTTCGGAAATAGTGATTAATTTTGATTAATTCAAAGCCTATGTTTAATTACATTTAAAGATTAGTTGTTTGACATCCCCAATTATAATAAATGTCTACAGATGAGATCAAACAAACAGATGAGAATTCCCCTTAAAGAGCAAGTCACACCCAAATAAACTTTTTTTTTGCTGATAAACTAAATAAATGAGTGTCTAATCGTGCTGCAGACACGTGTCATCAATAATTTGGCACTTCAGTGCATCTTAGTTAAAATTTAAATATTCTGCCTAAAACTGGCAGTGTTGTAACGTTGTCAGGTAAAAACTCTGCACTGTATTTTAATTTAAATCTGCCACCGCTATTGGCTAAGAAGTATGCTATGATGTAAACTGGTACATTATGATGTCACAATGCTGTCGTGAGCCTGAGTGTGTGTGTATTTGTTAGCGGCTCCGCCCTCTCGGTCTGCCAGGCAACAGCATGTGTTGCATTTTTCAAGCATGAAGTGGTAGTGGAGTTAGACTCTGGTAGGGGTTGACTTGCTCTTTAAGCGGTTTAACTTGGACCAAGCATTTTAGGTCACAGATAGGTGTAGCTTAGGGTCTCTGTCTATACACCTTATAAGACAATTTAGGTGATGGCATGTTGTTTTTCTGCTATTGAACTGTTTTCCAATAATGTTGTGTTTAATAAAGTAAAGGAAGGAGAGAAATAACGTTTCCCTAGCGGTTTTTAACAATGTCCCCATGTAATCCGATTAATCGATTAATCGTGTCGAGACCCCATCCGATTCATTGATTATCCAAATAATCGTTTGTTGCAGCCCTACCGATCACGTGGATTGGCCAGAAATTTTTTACAAATTACATAATCTGGGAATAAAGGAAATGTAACCTAATCTAAAATGGTCGGTATTAAGGTTGTCACGGTGTGAAAATTTTACCTCACGGTTATTGTGACCAAAATTACCACGGTTTTCGGTATTATCGCTGTATTTTTTTAAACGTGCTACATTTTCACACGATTAAATAAACCCTGTATGTCAGGAAATATTGTCCTCAGTTTGTGTCTAAATTTTGCCTAAGATGTGTTATTTTGTAATTATGTTGTTTATTTGTTTACATTTTTTCCCTTTAGTCTTTAAAATACCAGTATTTGCCCATAACTTCTTATTTTTTTGTCTGTTTGATGTCATCATTTTAAAAATATTAGTTCAGATGATACTCAGTACTCAAGTAGCCTTCTAATCAGATACTTTTTTACCCTTACTTGAGTAATAAACCCTATATCAGGAAAATATAGTCCTCTGTTTGTGTCCTTCCAGTGAGCTCTGCAGATGTGGGGAAAATGTCATCAGGCAGTAATCATTGTTAAATTCATAATTATTCTCGGAGAGACAAACTCTTATCTGCCCCTGGGAGCCCCGTAATGCATAGCGTCATTTCAACACGGGGGTGTCCGCGACACGGTTTATATGCAGGTAGCGGGGCTGCAGCTGCTTTATATAGCGACTCGTTGCATTCTCCCTCAACCCAAATCCTCAGATCATGCATTTTAGCTAAAACGCTAACGTTAACTTGCCTTGTGTTGACTGTAGAGTTGTGGGTGATGGTCACGCAGATGTGTCATGAGATTTGAAGCGTTGCTGCATTTCACAGACACTTTTTCTGCACGTGCTGCAAACAGGATAGCCGTCTTCTATAAACTCCCTCGGCATTCTTCAAATATCTAAAATATGCCCATACTTCCGACTTTGTCTTCTTTGAGGGATAATAAATGTCCTCCTGAGGGCTGCCGTCTCCTCCTTTGACCATTATTTCAGCTTTAGCTTCAAGAAAGTTTTGGTTGTAAACAACAAAGCGCGCATGTGCCGCCGGCAACTTCAGCAGATGATACGGTGGCTGGTAAGGGTCACCGCACCTACACCGCAGCCACGGTAAACTCACCAAGATAATATAGTTTTTTAAAAAACAAGACTATTATTGTTATTGTCAACTTTTTTTTTACCGGGGTTTATGGCTACACTGGTTACCGTGACAACCCTACCTGATCGGTCTGCTTTGATCTATTTTGAAAACTCCGATCAAAATCAATAGGGGCGCTATCGGCCGATTACGATCAAATGCCGATCCATCGGTGCATCCTTAGTTTAGGGTCAAGTCAGTGGGTTTTTGTTTACCTTGCCCAAAAAAAATTTCTAATTACCCCACCAACACACATTCTGAAAGCAGTAAAATTGTGACATTGTCTAATAGAAATCTCTGGTGGGAATTATAAGCACATTTTCTATTTTTACCCTCCACTTGCTACACTTCAGAGGTTTGATTACTCTGCCATTGGTATTGAGGACTGTTTTGTGTTGACCTTTTTTACAATTGGTCTCTTTTTTGCTAATTATTTTGTCTTTTGTTAAAGTACTTTGCAGTTCATTTTCAGGCAGATGTACAGTCACAGTAGGAACAGACTATAAGACCCTTCTTTCTGTCCTCATTCTAAAGGAACACAACTATCAGTTACTTCGATTTATTTCAGAACCGTGTACTACTAAATCTGAATAATTGTTTCTTGGCCTTTGTCTCACACTATGTAAATTGTTACAGTGCTGTTTTATCTATTTCAGCTCATGTTTATAAGATTGGCTTAAAGCGTAATTCAAATAATGCGTGAAGAGTAGCTGTTTGTTTTTCCTAAAAAATAATTTGCCCTTTCCACTAGGGATGTGTATTGGTGAAGTTATGGCGATACATTATGTATCACGATGCAGGGGAGACGATACGATCTATTGCGATACATTCAGTCAGACGATCTTAGCGATTTTACAGGCTGAATTTATTGTGGGAGAATTCAATAAACAGTCCAAACTGATACTTAACATGTTTTAAGTAAGTTATCTGAACCATAATAGAGGGATTTACATTTCAATGGTGGAAGCTAAACCCATTGCACACTACTGCCAACTAGCGGTCGGTGTTTGAACTGCACCAAAAGAAAAGAAAATGCACAAATGTTTGCATGTGAATTCTTCCAAAACTTAGATACACGGCTTTTGAATATTGATATAATATCGCTCCTATACTCTATCCTGATATACTGCTATATCGATATTTTCTTGCATCCCTACTTTCCACTGTCTATCGTTGTGGCGACTCCCTTAAACTGATGGATGTCGTTTGTTTTCCAGAGTGGAGAATGCATGCACAAAGCTGGTTCAGGCTGCCTCCATGTTGAAAGCTGATCCATACTCCGTTCCTGCTCGAGATTACCTCATTGACGGCTCTCGGGGCATCCTGTCTGGGACTTCTGACCTGCTACTGACCTTTGATGAGGCAGAGGTATTTATTTCTTGTCTTTTAATGTCGAGTCTAAATGTATTCTTGCTCACCATAGTTAGTTTTGTACCTTATACATGATGGGCTAAAGTAACGATAATTAGTGATGCACAGGTGGGGGGTGGGGGGTCTTTCCATTTTTGTAATTGAAACAACGTTCTAAATTAGAGGTGTCTTGTATCGGGCCCATTCGTCTTTTCCACTCAGGGACAGTAACTGAAAGAGAGAAGTTGCAGATCAGCAATTTCGAAGCACATATCAGGCATCCCGACATGTCTGCAGGAGTCAGCAGGACTCATCCATCAGAAATGTTTTGCAATGCAGCTCAGGGAGCTCTCTTTGGTGAAGGGGTGACTCCAGCAGTCCACATGAAGCTGGCAAAAAGCCGGACAAAGGCTGGACTGTCGGTGTGCAGCTTTAGCAGCATCTAACTAGAGGAAATGTGTTTTTATGCATTTGTTTCTAAGAATGCATCAGTGTTTTTCAGTAAACATTTGTGATTTCGTTTATTCATTCACTTGTATAGGTCCGCAAAATAATCCGAGTGTGCAAAGGTATTCTGGAGTATTTGACTGTGGCAGAGGTGGTAGAAACTATGGAGGACTTGATCACTTACACAAAGAACCTGGGACCAGGTCAGTCTGCCCATATGCTTTTATCTTTTATAAATAAGTAAATAAATATTGCTTGGGTCATACAGCAAAAGCCGGTGGCAACTAAAAGTCTTACAGACTGCGGAACGTAAATTAGGAAAATGAAAATTGACAACTGTGGATGTTTTTAGACTAAAGACTGAACAGGTGTCTACATTATTTTGCTTTTTGTCTCCAGGAATGACAAAGATGGCAAAGATGATAGATGAGCGACAGCAGGAGCTCACACATCAGGAGCATCGTGTGATGCTGGTCAACTCCATGAACACTGTCAAAGAGCTGCTGCCTATCCTCATCTCAGGTGATTTTATGGAGAGGAGTCTGTCACACCCTGTATGTGAATTCATTTGTTATTAAGCTTAAACTCTACCTTAAAATCTAAATATGTTTATTTCTCAATGCTTTTTTAAAAATTCAATTCAAGTTTATTATATAGCGCCAAATCATGACAAGAGTCGTCTCAAGGCACTTCACATAGTAAACATTCAAATACAGTTCAGGGGCCTCATTTATCAAGCTTGCTTACGCACAAAACGGGGTCAAAAAACTGCGTAAGCAACCTTCCATGCAAACTTTGGGATTTATGAAAGAAAACTTAGCGGAAAAATGTGTGCAACTTTAAGTTGACTAAGGACCTTGCTTACGCACATTTTGGACATGGAGAGCACCTGCGTGCAGCTGCTGAGAAGGATAAAATTATGAAATCCTGCAGCATTATCACTTGTACTGCTTCGTTTTCACACAGAACAAGACCCCCCCCACACACACACACACACACACACACACGTGCACACACACACACAGCCTGAAGCGCAGAATACGGAATGCAGAATATCAGCAGGGGGATAGCTTGAGACAGAATGTCATGCGTCTGTGACAGTGTGTGTCCTGTCACTGTGATCCGATTGATCATGCACCCTGGATACTTGGACAAGGGAGATCTCGGTTTGGGTGACTGGTTAGCGTGCGACTTTCACCTGGGAGTCTGGGGATCGAATCCCAATTGGACCATTTTTTTTTATATCCGCCACAGATCTCTCTGAAGAATTCACAACACTGACTGCTTCAGCAACGCTGTGCCACTCCGTGGATTTTCTCTTTATTTGTTTTGCAAAAGCACTTCCTTCCATTTCTCCACCTCACCCACAAGTACCTCAACTTCTGCTTCTGTGAAATTGCGCTTCCTTGATCTGCCTTGATCTACGGTCGCCATCGTCATTGGCGCTGCGCTGCAACAGCCGGCTTATATATATATGCATGAGGTCCACAAGGCACTTTGCATTGACTATTTATGGCAGTAAGTGGGCGTGGTGAGGGCGGGATGTGACTAAAAAGCAGCTGAGAACCTTTCTACATAGTTTCTGGTTTATGAAGCGGAGATTGCGTGCAGCTGTTCGTACACCATGTTTGATAGATCACAAACCTACTTGGCGTTAGTACATTTTTTTTGCTGAGCTTAGTTACGGTTTTAGTAAGGATTCAGTGCAATGTTTGATAAATGAGACCCCAGTTCATTAAGCTTATCAGTAAAAAGTTTCCTATATAAGGAACTCGGCAAATTACTGTCTGGTGTCTGTGACTTTACAGCAATCCTCATACTAAGCAAGCATTTAGTGACAGTGGTGAGGAAAACTCCCTTTTAACAGGAAGAAACCTCCAGGGGATCCTGGCTCAGTATAAGCAGCCATCCGCCACGACTCACTGGGGATCAAGAAGACAGAGCAGACACGCGTACACCAACTCCAACCCACCCACACACACACAACATATATACCAAGTAGTGTTTCTATGATTACATTATGATTTCTTAGTAAATATTCTATTTAGTGAGAGATAAACTTTATTTTATTTATCCTAGTGATTCTATAATTAAACGGGTAAACTGGTGGTAGCACATTCAATGTCAAAGAAAGTAAAATGTTATTATCAGGAGAGGGAGAATGTTTAAGTGGTTAGCAACAGTGTTCAAGACGATGGCCCCCTCCATGAGGCTACTACAGCTCAGCAGAACATCGTTGTAGCTTCTTCTGGGGACAAAACACTTAGAGAAAAAAATAAAGTTAACAACTGAAATAGCAGGAAATGATACAGTTAAAGGGCAAATTGTAGTAGAAAGTAGTAGAGTGTGGAAAGTGGTCAGTATGTCCTCCAGCAGTCTAAGCCAAAAGCAGCATAACTACAGAGATAACTCTGGGTAACCTAGCCTTTTAGATGGAGGTATGTTGGAGGCAGGGCAAGGGAGAGCCGTCTTTACTGACCGTATTCTCCACCTCCCTCTACTCCGTCGCTTGTCCAGATCTGGGCTAACATCAGATTTTAACCATAGGCCCTATCAAATAAAAATGTTTTAAGCCTAGTCTTAAAAGTAGACAAGGTGTCTGCCTCACAGACTAAAGCTGGGAGTTGGTTCCACAGGAGAGGAGCCTGATGGCTGAAGGATCTGCCTCCCATCCTATTTTTTGATATTCGGGGAACCACCAGTAAACCTGGAGTCTGAGAGCGAAGTGCTGTGTTGGGAACATGGAACAATCAGGTCACTGATGTATGGAGCTCGACTATTAAGAGCTTTCTAAGTGAGGAGGACTTTAAAATCTTTTCTGAATTTAACAGACAGCCAATGTAGGGAAGCTAAGATATGATCTCTTTTTAAAGATACTCTCTAAAACCAGACTGAAATTCCTCAAACAGATCATTAGTGTGTAAATGCTCACATACTTGGTTGGCCACTAGTTTCTCAAGGACTTTGGATTAAAATGGAAGGTTAGATATTGGTCTATAATTCATTGGGTCATCTGGATCCAGAGAAGATTTCTTAAGTAAAGGTTTGATTACAGCAACCTTAAAATCCCGTGGTACGTATCCATTTACTAAGGATAGTTTGATTATATCTAGAATGGGGGCAGTAACCAAAGGAAATGCATATTTAAAGAAGTTGGTTGGGATTGGATCTAAAATGCAAGTTGAAGGTTTAGATTAAGCTAATATTTTTGACAACTCTGAAAGTTCAGCTGGGTCAAAACTGTTCAAACACAGATGAGGTTCTACAGTTACCTCTGATGCTGCCTCACTGAGGAAGAAGTCGCATTAGGGAGGATGCTAATGATTTTGTTTCTAACAAAATAAATTTTATTCATGAAAAATCCCAGGCTCCTCTCCTGTGGAACCAGCTCCCAGCTTTAGTCCGTGAGGCAGACACTTTGTCTACTTTTAAGAATAGGCTTAAAACATTTTTATTTGATAAGGCCCATTGATAAAATCTGATGTTAGCCTAAATCTTTGACAAGTGGGGGAGTAGAGGGAGGTGGAGTGTACAGTCGGTAAAGACGGCTCTCCCTTGCCCTGCCTCCAACATACCTCCATCTAAATAGGATAGATTATCCAGAGTTATCTCTGTAGTTATGCTGCTATAGGCTTAGACTGCTGGAGGATACACTGACCACTTTTCACACTCTACTGCTTTCTTCTACAGTGTGCTCTTTAACTGTACTATTTTGTGCAATTTCAGCTGTTAACTTTATTTTCTCTGTAAGTGTTTTTCTCCTCAGAAGAAGCTACAACGACGTTCTGCTGAGCTGTGGTGGCCTCATGGAGGGGGCCATCGACTAGCACACTGCTGCTAACCACTAAAACATTATCTCTCTCTCCTGATAATAACTTTTTGCTTTCCTTGACGTTTGATGTGCTAATACTAGTTTATCCGTTGATCCACTAGGATAAATACAATAAAATGTATCTTTCACCAAATAGAATATTTACTAAGATATCACAATATAACTATAGACACATTACTTGTCTTTGTGTGTGTGTGTGCGTGCGTGCGTGCGTGCGTGCGTGCGTGTGTGTCTGTCTGCTCTGTCTTCTCGATCCCCAGTGAGTCGTGGAGGATGGCTGCTTATACGTAGCCGGGATTCTCTGGAGGTTTCTTCCTGTTAAAAGGGAGTTTTCCTCTCCACTGTCGCTTTATGCTTGCTTAGTATGAGGATTGCTGTATAGTCACTGACACTAGTCAGTGACTTGATGCAATTTGCTGGGTTCCTTATATAGGAAACATTATTTCTGATTGGCTTAATGAACTGAACTGAATTGGAATGTTTATTATGTGAAGTGCCTTGAGACGACTCTTGTCGTGATTTGGCGCTATATAAATAAACTTGAATTGAATTGAATTGAATTGAAATTGAATAAAATTTTTGCTGCTGAGGGCTAAGGGAATAGATGGTTCAGAGCTATGATTCTGTGTTCAGCAACTGTACTGAAAGAAACTTTGGATTATTCTTATTCTCCTCAATTAGCGATGAAAAATAAGCAATTCTAGCTTGTCGAAGTTTATTTTAAAAAGCACAAGACTATTTTTCCAGGACAAGTAGGACTCCTCCTGGTGTGTAGAATGCCATGTTCTCTCCAATTTTCTAGAGTTTTGTTTTAAAGTTCGTAAATGAGAATTAAACCAGGGAGCCAACTTCCTGTGTTTAAGTACCTTTTTTTTAAAGGGTCAACATCATCTAATGCCACACGTAAAGAAGTAACATTATGAACTAGATCATCAATTTGTGAAGGGCGAGAAATGAAAATATATCCCTCTGCTATGTTCCTCTGAGATGCTGAGGACAGTAAAGATGGAACAGTTGATTCAAAAGATGCAACAACGTTGTCAGATAGAGACCAACTATAGTGAAATTTACTTTCATGTCTCGAGAACTCTGTTATTAAAAACTCAAAGGTTATCAAAAAGTGGTCCGAGAGGACTGGATTATGTGGAAATATCGTTATTTCCTCACACTCTATGCCATAAGTCAGCACAAGGTCTAATGTATGATGGCAGGAGTGGGTGGAGCTATGTATTCCGTGGGTGAAACCAACTGAGTCTAAGATATTACTAAAGGCTACATTGAAGCTATCATTTTCAGTGTCCACATGAATGTTAAAATCCCCCACTACAATGACCTTATCAGTATTTAGCACCAAATCAGATAAAAAGTCAGATCTGATCCAAAAACTCAGAGTAAGTGCCTGGTGGACAATACAAAACTACAAACAAGAGTGGTTTTACAGTTTTGCAATCTGGATTAGGAAAACTTATGGGCCATTCCCATCTGTACCGGGTCGGCCCGGGCCGGGTAGCGTAGGTTGTTTACATATCTGGGTGGTCTGGTATTTTTCCGGGCCAACCAAGGCTCATTCTCAGCCCTCTTCTCGAGGGGGTCTGCTTCAGGCCGACCAGGGCCAACACACCCACTGCTGACAGCAAATTCACACCTTCCATTAGAGCAAGCCTCTGATTGGTGGGTAGAATCAGCCCACATGGGCTTAAGACAAGGATTTGTGGAATCAACCGGGCCAGGCTGGGGCCGACTGGGGCTACCCGGCCCGGGCCGACCCGGTACAGATGGGAATGGCCCATAAGAATAAGATGTTCAAAAGAACTGTAACTATTAATAGGTAAGGGATTGATTAATAGGTCTGAATGAAAAATGGTTGCTACTCCTCCTCACGCTGTATTTTGAGCAATATGATTATTTAAATAATTAGGAATCGACTCGTTTAAACTAACATAGTCCTCTTGCTGCAGCCAGGATTCTGTGAGAGAGAGCAAAGAAATCTGATTATCACAAATCAGGTCATTAACTAACAAAGTCTTAGAAAAAATAGACCTAATGTTCATGTTAAATGTTAAACACAGGAAAGTTTTTTTTTAACCTTGCTAACAGTTTCAATCACTCCTGCAATCTTCTTCAGAGCTAGCTGCTAACGGCGGCGTCACTTCCTTCTCTGTTTATTTATAAAAGATGTTTATTTCTGTTGGGTTTTCCAGGTATAAAGATTTTTGTAACCACCAAGACATCTGGGAGCCAGGGGGTGGAAGAGGCCTTAAAGAACCGAAACTTTACCTTCGAGAAGATGAGCGCTGAGATCAACGAGATCATCAGAGTGTTGCAGCTCACATCCTGGGATGAAGACGCGTGGGCCAATAAGGTTGGAGCAATATAGCTAAATATGATTTAGGCTTATTCATTCACAAAAAGTCAACTTTAAGATGATTAAAAACAAATAAATCATTCTGTTCAAGTTGTCAAAGCCGGCCCTGATGCACACACACATCCAGACGGATGGTCAGATATTACATCAACGGTCTAACTGGCAAAGTTAGAACGTAGGTTTTATTTAGACAGAGAACATGACCGAGATCCTCGTCCTTCAGGGTTAGTTTTCAGCTTTTATTTGAGTTGAAGCTGTTTTGCTAAATCTTCATATAATTCGAGTAAATTTCTGGGCTGAAGACCAGATATTGAAACAAAATAAAAGTTTCATCTTGAGCAGAATGAACCTGTGGCATGGGTTAATGTTTTTGCTCTATTTAGGCCTCCATACTGTAGGTAAAAAAAAATGTACACACTTCCACTCATTCTCCATCTTTGTAGAGGTGTCCGTGTTTTTAAAAATATTTCAGCTCTACGTTTTCTGTTCTCACCACCCTGAAGGAAACATTTCTTGCATGAGAGTCTTTGTATTGTATTTTCCGTTGCTGTTGGCTGGTATGTCTCGTTGAACGTTTATATTGTTCTTCCTTTCTTTTTACTGTTTGTTCTCCCCTCACTCCCTGTAGAAGGTAAGCTCCACCTCTGTCGCTCCCTGGTTGTGCAGCTGCAGCATGTTTGACCGATGAGTGTGCTGTATTGTGCTTTGCAGTTTTCCTCAGTTGTTGGACAACTAAGAGACCTTTAGATGAAGAATTTCTGCATTACTGGTTGAAAGTGTTTTTTTGTTTTGAGGTTGAAGTTTTGACATGTTGGCTTATAAAGCCTTTAGTTACTTTCCCTTTGCTCAATAACGTGACAACATCTGTGTGTCCTTCTCCTTTGACACTAAAACCCTGCTACATCCTTGACGGTTGCTTATTGATTGACCTGACTCATGCAGTATTGATTTTAGTGTCATTAAGGAGAACGCTGAGGGTTAATCTCGTCTGGTCATGAGCATCAGGTTTCTCCTGATGGAGCAGACTCATGGCAAGCTCTCTGCTTTAATCCAACAATGTCTTTTTAATTTACAGCTCTAAACATGCTTTGTCCACAATATTATTCCAGTAAATCACACAGTATATCATTTTTAAACAATATTAATCTTTTCTTCTTACTTCAGAATGGATATTGGTGCTTAACTCCCATGTGCTTGTCTATTTGTTTACTTAACTGTCTTTTTCCACTCACACACAATGCATTACACCAGAACAGCAGCTGCATGCTCTGCATGTTTTTGAGCAATAACAACGTACACTTCCACTTCTTTCGTCACCTCATACCTTTTTACTTCCTCTTTTTCTCTCACAGTGTTCATAACAGGATATCTACTCTAACACACATTTTGTGTTTTAGCTTAAAATGTAATCACTTTATTTGTGACATTTTAAATAAGTTTTTAAACTGATTTGATTCAGAAACTGAATTGTAACTCTAATAATTTAACTTTTTTTGTTAGTTTGTCCCATTTTGCAATAAGAAACGAGCTAAAGTAACATCTCCTTTCTCTGACCCGGGCTCCTGCTGCGCTCCATCTCCCACAAGGACTCTGCTTTGTTGTGTAGTCGTCAGTAATGAGGAGTCTCATTGTTGACTCGTTGCTGTTGGATAAACTTGTGTTTCCATCCTCTGAATGAGAAACCATGGCTTTTATAACATGACACACTTGTTTAGATCATTGTGAAGAGTGATGGAAACAGCATGGTTTGGATCGTTTTGCCTGCCAGATGTTAGCAATGCTGTGTAAGGACTATGATCAAATGTTTCTGTTCCTGAAATAACTCCATGCTGTGGGTTAGTCATGACGATGACCAGAGCATTAATACTCTGCCTTATTAAGTAACCAGCTCAGTCTCCATTAATCATGACCCGATTGAGAAAATAATGATTTGCTTTAACATGCTAGACCTAACAGGAGTGCAGAATAGAAACAAACCCGTGTCTGCTCAAGATGATTTTGAGTTTCCATCACCTACTTGTTCTGGTCTCAATTGATTCCTTGTGAGAATAATTTTGTGCCACCTATGTACACTTAAAGGACACTGAGGCCATGAAGAGGGCTTTGGGGCTGATTGACTCAAAGATGGCTCAGGCCAAAAACTGGCTTAGGGATCCAAACGCTTCACCTGGTAAGAAAACGATTAAATACAATAACACAAATATTTCTATCAGGTTCAGTAAGAACGTCATCTGACATGATCGGTTTTGCTTTCAGGTGATGCTGGCGAGCAGGCTGTCCGACAGATCCTGGATGAAGCTGGTAAAGTTGGTGAACTGTGTGCTGGGAAGGAGCGTAGAGATATTCTGGGTACAGCCAAGACTCTGGGACAGATGACCGACCAAGTGTCTGAGATGAGAGCCAGGTAAGGTGCTCACTAAAAATACCTTACTTTGTATTTCCTTATTAGCTACTGGGATTATAATACTTAATTTAATGTGAAACTTTTACTTGATATTTGTTTGAAAGTATAATTTTCATTCTTAATGATTGCTCCTCATTTACATAATTTCCACTTTGCATCCCAATGGATTAAGTGGTTTATTGTAGAAATTCTACTTGAGGGGTATATAGGATGGTAGTGTGTTATCACCAGAGACAGACTCACTCTGATGAAAAGGCTTTGAGCCATTATCTAAAAATGAAGTCTTTGTTAGAAATTACTGTTTCCAAACAAACCTTTTGAATAAACAAACAACAAAATAGCAGCAGTGGCTTTTTGAATACTTCTCCTAATGACGTCCATATGCTTTTTGTGTTCTTCAGAGGTCAGGGAGCGTCCCCAGCAGCCATGCAGAAGGCACAGCAGGTTTCCCAGGGGCTCGACGTGCTCACCAGCAAGGTGGAAAATGCTGCTCGTAAACTGGAGGCCATGACTAACTCCAAGCAGGCCATCGCCAAAAGGATTGATGCTGCACAAGTAAATGCTTCTTAGCTGAGAGCTCACAGAGCAGTAACTGTAACTATTTTTTATGGTGTCTTAATTGTGCTTTGTCTTCTCTTGTCCTATAGAGCTGGCTCGCAGACCCTAACGGCGGACCAGAAGGAGAGGAGAACATCAGGGCTCTCCTCTTAGAGGCCAGAAAGATTGCAGACTTGTGTGAAGACCCCAAAGAAAGAGATGAGATTCTGCGCTCAGTCGGAGAGCTGGCTGCCATGACTGCCAAGCTCTCGGATCTCAGAAGACAGTAAGTTAATGACCATCTGAAACACGAGTCCTGCTTATAACGGGTTTATGGTTGAGGTTAAATCTGAGGCTGATCGCCAGTTGTCAAAATTAACCAAGCTGAACTGTTCTCACACTTTGACAGTTGTTCAGATGCTTTGATGATCTGAATTGTGTGTGATTATCACAACACCAAAGCTCAAGTTTTAACTTCTGTGTCTAAGAAAAAAAAAAAACCAAAGGGCTTCATACTATAAACCGGAGCTGCATTTGTCATGCTGTTCTGAACTAAATGGACAAGTTTTGGATAAATTGGTTCAGTAATCTCCCTACTCGTTGCCTACATGTCAGCTAAAGCTTTATAATAAATTAAGCTTAACTCGTTGCCTACATGTCAGCTAAAGCTTTATAATAAATTAAGCTTAACTCTTCAAAGGGGTAAAGGTGACACGCCTGAGGCTAGAGCTTTAGCCAAACAGATCGCAACGGCCCTCCAGAACCTGCAATCCAAGACCAACAAGGCCGTGGCCAACAGCAGGCCAGCAAAAGCAGCTGTGCACTTGGAGGGGAAGACCGAGCAGGCTCAGCGTTGGATCGACAACCCCACTGTGGATGACAGTGGTGTGGGTGAGCCTGGCTTTCATCTTCCCTCGAATGTCTTCATCTTTGTTTTTCCTCACAGCCCTTCACTTCTGCTGTGACCTAATAGCACACTGTAGAGAGTGAACATGCGCATTAGGCTTGTTGTGGTGCTCGTTGGTTTTGGCAGGACTCCACCAACACCATTTTAGACGTCTCTACAGGAGGGTGGATGATTTGTGACTGATTTGTTTTCTGAGAACTGATGAAAAAAAAAAGCACCTTAAAGCATCATTTAGCTTTTTTCCTCTAATTTTCAGATTTTTCTTCATTGATGCATCCAAAATTAATGACTAACATCTAACCATTCAAATTTTTTCTTCATTTATTGTAATCCAAAAATCTGTGTGTTTTCAGGTCAAGCAGCCATCCGTGGCTTGGTGGCAGAGGGCCGCAGGCTGGCCAGCGCTATGCCCGGCCCGTACAGGGCGGAGCTGCAGGGTAAGTGCGAGCAGGTGGAGCAGCTCATGGCCCAGCTGGCTGACCTGGCAGCACGAGGTGAAGGGGACTCCCCTCAGGCACGGGCTGTGGCCCAGCAGCTCCGAGAGGCCTTGAAAGTAAGACCAACAATCAGACCTGTAGTTTCAGTCAGGATTCATACAGGGTTCTAGGGGAACAGCTCCCCCTGCTGGTTATGTAGGATGGAAAATGTAAGTTGTGATGGGAAAATCTTGTTGGAAAACAAAAATGCACAGTGTGTGTTGGAAATGGTGACAAAAAATGCATCTTTTTAAATTTATGAAATTCTTACAGATTTTTTTACTTTTTTCATAAATATGAAAATAAAATTTTACTATTCTTCCAAATTTCCTGAACTTATTTCAGGTGAGATAATCTTGTATTAGTCAGCCTTCAATGTAGTTACATTAAATGGATGTGAAGACTAAGCCAGTCATAGTTATCTCTTCTGCTGCTGAAACTAAAGCTGCACTCTGCAGGGAAATTACACATTTTCATTGTGAAAAAACAGGTTGAGGTCTTGTAAATCTACAGAAATTATTTCTCACCTACTGTTCAGCTTTTTGAGAATTCACACATTTGATGTTACTTTCAGTTTCATTCCAGAAAATAAGTTGACTGTATAAATTAACAGAATAATAATAAAATGTTTGTTTGTTTATTTTTTTTCTGACGAGAAATGCTTAGACATGAATGTCTAAATGTGCTTTGGGAGTGTTTTAGACCTGAGCTGGGTAAAAACAGCTAGTCTCTTGTAAATTATTTTGCAGCTCAGTATCAACCTTCTTTCTCTGAAGTTGCCGACTGTTTTCAACATGTTGTTGTCTTCCATTCAGGACCTGAAAGGAAAGATGCAGGAAGCGATGACCCAGGAGGTTTCTGATATCTTCAGTGACACAACAACCCCCATCAAATTACTGGCGGTGGCTGCCACTGCCCCTCTGGATGCCCCCAACAGAGATGAGGTCAGTAGACAGTCATGCCGCTCCTCATGTCACTGTATTACTTAGCAGCAGGGTGCGATATTATTTCCAGCAACACTTCAGAAAAATGCTTTATTTCATTTTTATAGGTCTTTGATGAAAGAGCTGCCAACTTTGAGAATCATGCCAACAGGCTGGGTGCCACAGCAGAGAAGGCTGCCGCTGTCGGCACAGCGAACAAGAGCACCGTGGAGGGAATCCAGGCTGCCGTCAAGTCAACAAGAGACTTGACGCCACAAGTATGTGATAGTTGAGTGTTTGTCTGCTTCTGTTTTGGTCCTCCCTCCACCCTGAGCCACAGAGCCTAGGAGTTTCTCCCCGTCAGTGGATTCATAATTAATGGATGGGATTATTTTAGGTGGTTTCTGCCGCTCGAATTCTGCTGAGAAATCCTGGCAACCAAGCAGCTTATGAACATTTTGAGACTATGAAGAATCAGTGGATTGATAACGTGGAGAAAATGACTGGTAAGGGTGTCATAAATGTATAAATCACTGATGGACACTCTATAAGACCCTGCAGTTAAATCCCTGGTGGTTTCCTTAGGTTTGGTGGATGAGGCCATCGATACTAAATCCCTGCTGGATGCCTCAGAAGACGCCATAAAGAAGGACTTGGATAAGTGCCGTGTGGCCATGGCCAATCACCAGCCTCAGATGCTGGTGGCTGGGGCCACCAGCATCGCCCGCAGAGCCAACCGGATCCTCCTGGTGGCAAAACGAGAAGTGGAAAATTCTGAAGATCCCAAATTCAGGGAGGTGGTGAAGGCTGCATCCGATGAACTGAGCAAGACCATTTCTCCCATGGTGATGAATGCAAAGGCTGTGGCTGGAAACATTCAGGATCCACGTAGGTTTCTGTATCCGACAGGATCAAAACATTTGGTTTTGTTTCTGTGGAGCTAACAGATGAGTATTTGTGTTTCACTGCCAGATCTTCAAAAGGGCTTTCTGGACTCGGGCTATAGGATTCTTGGTGCTGTAGCAAAGGTCAGGGAAGCCTTCCAGCCCCAAGAGCCAGACTTCCCTCCACCTCCTCCTGATATCGGACAGCTTAATGTAAGTCATCAGAAAAAACTAACTTTATAAAACTGATTCACCTTTGACTAAGAAATAAAAGTGATCTTCTAGATTGATGACTACCCAGCACCTCCTAAGCCCCCTCTTCCAGAGGGTGAGGTTCCTCCCCCCAGGCCCCCTCCTCCTGAGGAGAAAGATGAGGAGTTCCCTGAACACAAGGCTGGCGATATCGTCAATGAGCCCATGATGGTGGCTGCCAGGCAGCTTCACGATGAAGCCCGAAAATGGTCCAGCAAAGTAAGTCAGCACTATTTCCCAGCATGCACCTGATGCTTGAGTCCATCCTGGAAGCAGACTTGAGTGCTGATGCAAACTGAATACTTAGATCTGTCTCAGATCTCCAGTCTATCACCATTAATGATCCTTTTACATCTAATGAGTGATGTCTATTAGATACCAGCTGTCTAAACAATGATATAATAAAACATAACTCCAGTAGATGTGAAACACAACATCCATCATGTTGGACAATATATTTTAATTTATTTGTGGTGTTATAAATTAGATTTAATAACTGTTGCTCACAACAGCTGACTGGCTTGTTCAGCTAACATTAATCAGACTGTGTAACAAAAAGTGGAATTTAAACACTTAAATCTTCACATGTGGTCCAAACAACGAAAAACACACCAATAGAAGGTGTTAAAGGCCTGTGAAAGGAAAACAACGTGAGATGGTTCTCATCTGTGAAAAGGGATCATGTGTCTTGATAAGCTGAGGTTGGATCAGCTGTCTGATAACTGAAACTGACTTATTCAGTGTACAGCTGGGACAGCTGCCTTTGAATTTCAGTTTGAGATGATCTTTCCTTTTATTCAGCATACACTTAGCATATTATTTGCATCCTGGCATTTGCTTGGTTTCAGTGTAAAACATCTTTTTATAAGAGAAATGGTATTTTTTTACTCAGTCATCCATAAACCACTATTAAAATGCCTTTATTTATGTTTCTGCAGGATTAAAACTTTTAGATTTACTGTCCAATGAGCACGAACCTTAAGGATATATTAACTCCCGACAGGTGCATTGAAAACCTTTGTGTTCAGGGTGATCATGTGTCTCTTGTAGGGAAATGACATCATCGGTGCTGCCAAACGAATGGCCCTGCTCATGGCAGAGATGTCCCGTTTGGTGCGTGGAGGAAGTGGAAACAAGCGTGCCCTAATCCAGTGTGCCAAGGACATAGCTAAGGCCTCTGATGAGGTCACACGGCTGGCTAAGGAGGTGGCTAAGCAGTGTACTGACAAACGTATCCGGACCAACCTGCTCCAGGTCTGAACACGGCAGCATTTGGTGGAGCAGCAGCATTTAACTCCTTATTATTTTGAACTTAACCTGCCTCTTTGCTTCAGGTGTGTGAGCGTATTCCCACCATCAGCACACAGCTTAAAATCCTGTCCACAGTCAAGGCCACCATGTTGGGTCGTACCAATATCAGTGACGAGGAGTCCGAACAGGTGGGTGCAGTCCAGATGAATTTTACAACAGCTTTTGGGTCGAGTCTTGAAGTCTCACTCATCACTGTTCTCTCCCCTGCAGGCCACTGAGATGTTGGTCCACAACGCTCAGAACTTGATGCAGTCGGTAAAGGAGACGGTCAGAGAGGCTGAGGCAGCTTCTATTAAGATCAGAACAGATGCAGGTTTCACCCTCCACTGGGTCAGAAAGACCCCCTGGTACCAGTAGGAGATGGGCTCTGTGCTGCATCTGTCCAGCTGTTCATTAGGACATTAAGGGGACAGACTTCATCAAAGCTATGATACCTGGGCATGTCCTGTCCAATGACTGCTGTTCTGATCTAAAGTAATGATGGGACTGTTAGTTCTATGGTCAGTGCGTTTTGGCAAGTGTGTACAAATATATTTGAAGGCTTATCTTGATAAATCCCAGGGTGATGCATATATATAGATCAAAAGTTGTTTCCATGCATTATAAAGGTGGCTGTTTCTGGCCTGTTCTAGACCCGACTACATTAATTTAAATTTGATTGACAGCCTGTTGTTGAGATGTTTTTATATCTTTGTACTGATTATTTTATGATCACTATCAGTTTTGCTAGGATAAGCACGTGATCTTTAGGAGCTGTTACAAGTACAGCTGAAGCACAGATTCAGTGGTGTTGCATTTGTTTACAATATCCTGCATCATAATGAGTGAAAGAGAAACACTGTAAAGGAGTTGTAGCAGTCCTTAGTACTGCTAGACATATACAGCATATTGCATAATGCATATTTTAGAAGGGTTTTTAAGGAGCTAAATAACTCTGTTCATTCAAGGTGAGTGTTACTGCTGTGTTGAGACAGTGCACAATAACAGCATTGTCCTTCACTTTTAAGCTTAAAAGCAATTTTCTTTACTCCTTTTTCCCTCAACAAGCCAACAGAACACCAATAATGTCAGATGTTCTTATGTAAACACAACACATAATGTGTATTTTAGTGCACATTTCATGTTTTACTTATTAATAGCACTCTTCAAGATAATCGAGGGAAAGAGCAGAACTTTGATATGAATGTTGGTATGTCTCAACACTAAACACAACCGGCCTTTTTTGTGACAATTGAAGATTCTTTATTTTTAATGTGTGTGTAAGTATCATTTTAATACCTAATGCCAATTTATGTGCCTTGCCATAAAGTTTATTTCTAATGAAACAAATTCTACAATGTTAATATCATTCATACGAATTGCCCTAGTGGTAATTTGTTCAAACTATTTTTGTTGAAGGTTTATTTTGAAAGCTGGGCCTGGTTTAGGACTTCTAAATAATCACATTATTCTCTATGCAAACCATGTGTTTATTTTTTTTTGTAAGGATATGCAGCTTTGTTGGGTTTAAACGTGTTGGAACATAATTCTGCTTAAGCATTGTTCACAGTTTTTGTAATAAAGCATTTTTAACACTTGGAGGTGTGTGTATGTTTTGTACAAACTCTTGTACAGAAAATGCTGGATTTGTTCAAATTGCCCTAAAAGAAAAGTTGCTTTTATTCTCACTCAAGTAAATGTACCCAACCAAAGTTTTTATTTGTTATGACAATCTGCCTAAAGCCCAGATAAACTTACAGCTCTGTCTCCTCTTGTCTACATAGTTCACTTGTGTGCCACCTACAATAAAATATGGATCTGCACTAGCACTTGGTTTGCATATAGTATTTTATAAATGCTGGCCGCACTTGAGTTCATATTGCGGTATAATGCTTTACAAACACGAAAGGGTGAATTTACTCAAATAACATTACCTGACCTTGCAGAAATCACTGGTTTGCAATAAGACCGCAGATTACCAGCTAAATCTGATCCAAACAAGTAATAGTGGTCAGGTCCTGTGGTGCAAAGCTGATCTGAGATTCTTCTCCATGAACACATGTAAACATGTGCTGGAGGAGTCACCAGTAGAACCTGATGTTAATAATCCACATGTGAAAACGAGACATCCAGTCTCGGTGTAAGCCACTTTATCATCAAAGTAATAAACTCCCATGGATCCCTGCCAAAACTAATTTTCCCCCTAGGGTGCATGCGGCTGACCAATTTCTTTAGCAACATTTGAAGGGAAAGGAAGCAGTTGCTTCCTGCTACTCTTCTCTGTCAGGGGAAAAAAAAAAACATTTTAAAGGTTCAACTAGAGCCCTGCACTGAAGCCCTAGGCCCTCGGGTCGGCCAGGTGTTGTGCCCAAAAGTGATCGTCTGCCAGAAACTGATTGCCATCCGCGGGAGCGCGCGCAGCTGCTAAAAGCTGCAGCGCCTGGATTACTTGCGTTGCTAGCTATTTCTGTGCAACTGATATAACGTATAACTGCTGGATAATCTTAAAGGGAAAAATAAAACTGATAATATGCAATTTCCAACCTGCCAAAAAGTGATTGCTGCCTAAAACTTGCCCAAACCTTTCTTTTCAGTTGGTTGAGTATTTTGGCACTGCCCTGAAACACAATGCAAGTGCAGCAACATTTTAAGTTGTATTTTTATCTGAACACTGAAATTAAGACGAAAAATATTCCAGAAAACAAATAGCGATGGTTAAAAAAAGAAAAATTATATTTTTCTCTTAAAAAATCAAGATGTGCTTTTTATATCACAGTAACTATTATTAGTTTACTTTACTACAGGTTAAAAGTTAACTAAAAAGTCTAGAATCATGTCAAAGAGATCACCGATTTGCCAGATAATCTAACGATTCTTTTTCTACATAACCAGCCTTCATTCCTTCCAATAAAGCCAGCTGCAGATTGTTGAACAAGGATTTTCGATTTCTCCAGACCTGTTTTATTATATTAAAGCAGTTCTGAATTACATCTCAATCTGTGTGTTAATGAAACCAGGCTGCAGGGTTCACAAAAAGGTCTGTGTGTAAAATGTGTGTGCATGACTTGACTCCTGATCTCCTGATGTCGTAAATAATGAGTGTGCTTCACTAATCTGCTATTCATGGCAAATATATGTTGTAGTTTTAGCCTTTTACTGACTTTTATGGGAGTAGTCCAGGAAGTGATTAGAGTTTCAGGGACACCCATGTCTGGAAATTGTTTATGGTTGACTTGAGCAGATCTCTGAGTTGGAGAAGAGGAAGGGGGGGAGACCTCCCCCTGTGTACTGATAACCAGAAGAAGGACACCAAGCGAGAGACGCTGGGAGGAGTCTCAAGGCCGGAGAATGCTTCCGAGGCGGGAGTTGTCATGGAGACGAAGATGGGCGAGAAGGGGAGTTGTTGTGAAGCAATAAAAGAGGGGGGCCCGGTTGGTTCGAGAGAGAGTTCTTGGGGAGTTGTTGGTTGTTGTTGAGTCTGTACCTGTTCGGTGTTTTTGACCCGCTGCGTCGGGAATTTGGAATATTTTTTTACTTCATCATATAAAATAAAAACTTTTGTTCCTTCTTATAAGGAGCTTTAACACGGATCTCCTGCCTGGGGTCTCCTTGGTGTCGCATAACCGCAGAAAGGTGAGGTGCTGGTTACTTTCAATCCCACTCCAAGAGGTTCATAACACAGTTTAGAGTCATTAACCTGAGCACTACATAAGCTGCAGGTGACTAAGGTGTGTTTGGGTTTGAGCAGAGTCTTCCTTTGAGCTGCTAGTAGTAGTGTGTGTGCCAGAATCTAAACCTAGGTTAATGATGATCGCTGATCAGCTCATATTAGTGTGCAGGTCAACTGGATAATCACGCTCACGCATAAATAGAAGTACAAGTCAACCCTGAGACGTAGTGTTTATTAAAGAGTCAGCTAGTTTGGGAAGATAACTTGTAACATGGCGCCCGTAACGTGGGGCGGTGATTTCGCAGTTGTGTAAAAAGAAGCCTGTTTGTGAGCTTAGAAAGTCCGGAACTGGGAGATTCTCCGCAAGGGCGGACAATTTGTCCCCAAAGAGCCGGCTATATTGGTCACGAGGCCGCTTAGGGAAGCCTATGAGTTTTGATTCTGAAGTCCAGTAGCTGGAAGTGTTTGGAACGCCCTGGTCTGATTGAATCGGTTCTGTGGGAGTACGTTCCCTCCACCAAGTGCACACGGCGCAAGGAGGTTTTGTGGGAGCCTCTTAAAAGATTCTCACACGCAGGAAAGTGAGTGGCCTCGTAAAAGATTCTCACAAAATAGAATTAAATCGCAGGTTGCAATTCCTGACCTCATGGACGGAATCCGAGGCAGAGCCGCTAAGTTGTTGCTGGTGTGTGTGCACGCACACCCTGCCTTTAAAGGACAACGATTTTGATGCGAGGTGATCTTTATGAGTAAAGATACTCGTGTAACTGAGGGAAATTTAGGGATGGCTGCAGTAAGCGAATATGTCTCCGGGGAGGAGGAACGCGGTGAGAGAATGGCTGATATTGAGAGCTTGTGGGCTCGTGATGACCCAGCTAGAGTGCGAGCGATATTTTCTGACTATTCCAGAGTGTGTTTCGAGCCTCCAGCATCATTGGTGAATGCGATTAATGTGAACGGTACATCAGAATCTGGTGTTGCGCTGGCGATAAAGCGCAGGTATCCACAAAGTCATGGTGCAATCATGGCTCAAAATCCTCCATTTGCTATAGGAAACGTAATGGTGTGCAGACGGTCTGCGATTGAAGCTGGGGATGGGGTGCGTGAAATATTCTCGTCTCGTCTTCCTCCGCTTATCCGGGTCCGGATCGCGGGGGCAGCATCCCAAATAGGGAGCTCCAGGCCGTCCTCTCCCCGGCCTTGTCCACCAGCTCCTCCGGCAGGACCCCAAGGCGTTCCCAGAACAGATTGGAGATGTAACCTCTCCAACGTGTCCTGGGTCGACCCGGGGGCCTTCTGCCGACAGGACATGCCCGAAACACCTCCCCGGGGAGGCGTCCAGGAGGCATCCTGACCAGATGCCCAAACCACCTCAACTGGCTCCTTTCGATCCGGAGGAGCAGCGGTTCTACTCCGAGTCCCTCCCGAATGTCCGAGCTCCTCAACCTATCTCTAAGGCTGAGCCCGGCCACCCTACGGAGGAAACTAATTTCGGCCGCTTGTATCCGCGATCTCGTTCTTTCGGTCATTACCCAAAGCTCATGACCATAGGTGAGGATTGGGACGTAGATCGACCGGTAAATCGAGAGCCTGGCTTTCTGGCTCAGCTCCCTCTTCCCCACGACAGATCGGCTCAGCGTCCGCATCACTGCAGACGCCGAACCAATCCGCCTGTCGATCTCCCGATCCCTCCTACCCTCACTCGTGAACAAGACCCCGAGATACTTAAACTCCTCCACTTGAGGTAGGACCTCTCCTCCGACCCGGAGGTGGCAAGCCACCCTTTTCCGGTCGAGAACCATGGTCTCAGATTTGGAGGTGCTGATCCTCATCCCAGCCGCTTCACATTCGGCCGCGAACCTACCCAGCAAGAGCTGAAGGTCAGAGCTGGATGAAGCTAGGAGGACCACATCGTCCGCAAAAAGCAGAGACGAGATTCTCCTGCCACCAAACTTGACACACTCCACACCACGGCTGCGTCTAGAAATTCTGTCCATAAAAGTGATGAACAGAACCGGTGAAAAAGGGCAGCCCTGGCGGAGTCCAACCCTCACTGGGAACAGGTCCGACTTACTACCGGCTATGCGGACCAAACTCACGCTCCTCTGGTAAAGGGACTGAATGGCCCTTAACAGAAAGCCACCCACCCCATACTCCTGGAGCGTCCCCCACAGGGTGCCCCTGGGGACACGGTCATAAGCCTTCTCCAAATCCACAAAGCACATGTGGATTGGTTGGGCAAACTCCCATGCCCCCTCCATCACCCTTGCAAGGGTATAGAGCTGGTCCACAGTTCCACGGCCAGGACGAAAACCACATTGTTCCTCCTCTATCTGAGATTCAACTATCGATCGGACCCTCCTCTCCAGTACCTTGGAGTAGACCTTTCCAGGGAGGCTGAGGAGTGTGATCCCCCTATAGTTGGAACACACCCTCAGGTCACCCTTCTTAAAGATGGGGACCACCACCCCGGTCTGCCACTCCCTAGGAACTGCCCCCGATGACCACGCAATGTTGTAGAGACGTGTCAACCATGACAGCCCTACAACATCCATAGCCTTGAGATACCCAGGACGAACCTCATCCGCCCCCGGGGCTCCGCCGCTGCGTAGTTGTTTGACTACCTCAGCAACTTCTGCCCCCGAGATCGGACAGTCCATCCCCAGGCCTCCCAGCTCTGGTTCCTCCTCGGAATGCGCATTGGTGGGATTGAGGAGCTCCTCAAAGTATTCCTTCCACCGTCCGACTATAGCCTCAGTTGACGTCAGCAGCTCCCCATCCCCACTGTAAACAGTGTGAGCGAGTTGCTGCCTTCCTCGCCTGAGGCGCCGGACAGTTTGCCAGAACCTCTTTGGAGCCGATCGATAGTCTTTCTCCATGGCCTCACCAAACTCCTCCCACGCCCGAGATTTTGCCTCGGCAACTGCCA